TTTTTACAGGTTTAACAAGTTTTTCTAAAGCTGTCATCCTGGCACTTAAATTGACTATGTTTTGAAATTGTAAAATGAAGATAAGCATAGTGATAAACTGCATAATTCCAACAATACTAATCTTCTCATATAGTTGTTCCATTGTCAGACTGCCTAAAATTTCAAACAAAACCCAATTTTCTTCCAATGTACACATATAACCCATTTTCTTTTTAATGTGGAAAAAATTTCTCTTTTAAATAGTTTCCTTTAAAATATCTGATATGTTATTACTTACCAAATCTGCATAGAACAGTAGAAATCTGAGGAAATTTCAAAACAGCCACCTAGTGTCCGAGGTGTAAATCCAGAGAGACAGGGGAGAGAGGCAGAGAGAGCACAAGAAAGCATAGCTGGCTAAAGCTTAAATCCATCCACATGTTACCTCTTGAGCCGAGTCAAGGCTTGACTCTGGGTTCCTTAAGCTCTGACCACATGTGTTGGCTTTACTGGCAGGGGCCCTGTTTGGCAGGGCAGGCCTGAGTTGTTTGTAGCACCAGCTTTAAGCAAGCAGCTCACAGTTAGTCTGGCCTGAGGCCAAGCAGACCTGGGTCTGGGCTAGGAAGCCGCCGCTCAGACTAGGGGGCCGCCCAGCCTCCCGCCCTTGGGGGAAACCAGACCTGCTGCCAATCCAAGGGTTTTTTTTTTTTTTTTTTTTTTTTTTTTTTTTTTTTTGAGACAAGGTTTCTCTGTGTAGCTTTGTGCCTTTCCTGGAACTCACTTGGTAGCCCAGGCTGGCCTCAACTCACAGAGATCTGCCTGGCTCTGCCTCCTGAGTACTGCGATTAAAGGCATGCACCACCACCGCCGGCCGCCAAGTGGTTTTTAATGGATTCTTGTCACGTTGGGTGCCAGATGTAGATGTAACCAACCATCTTATTAAATTAAGTGTTCATGTTGCCATATCCACTCATTTTTCTTATATTTTCATTTAGATATAAAAGATAAGTAAACATTAAAAACTGTTTCCACTATTTAGTTGTCTATTCACTTGAAGCTGTCAATACTGTAATGCCATAAAATGTAGCCTTTTGTGATTCAATCTTTACCCCCATATTGCTGGGCTGTATGTTCCTATGCTTACCTGTATATAAACATTCATCTTAGAATTGCCTTAGCTATCTCTGAAGTATCTGACAGGTTGAACTTTCATCTTTATTTGGTTCAAGAAGCTTGGCAATTTTTCCATGTTTTTTCAATGAGCCACTGTTCATTCAAGGATTTATTTCTCAGCCTCTATGTATTTGTGTAGTTACTGTAGTATTTCTTGCTATTGATTTTAAGTTTTATTACACTATGGTCTATTTGGATATAACAATATTTAATTCTTTTGTATTTAGTAAGACTTGAGTCTTTATTTTAGAGAAAATTTCAGATACAGCTAAGAAGAAAATATTTTCTGTTCCATTTGGATGGAAAGAATCCTCTCCAGATGTCTGTTAAGTCCACTAGATCTATGGTGCAGTTTAGCTCTGAAATTTTTCTGTTGGTTTTTACTTAGGATGTCCTCTGCAGGAATAGGAGTGGAGTGCTGATATTACCACAGTTATTGCATGAGAATCTGTCTGAACTTTGTATTCCTTTTTGCTTGTTTTATGAAATGAGAGTCCCAAATTTTGGTGCATAAATATTTACAATTGTTCTAATTGATGAATTGTTCCCTTTATGGATGTGTAGTGGCCTTCTTCATCTCTTCTAGCTAATTTTGATTTTACATGAGAATAGCTAGTCCAACTTGTTTCCAGTTTCTGTTTGCTTCATGGATAAAGTCATCATCGAGAGAGGTTAACTAGTTATGGCATTCTGTCAAGTTTTTTTTTTTTCCTGGTTGCTTGGATTATTTGTTTTTTTTCTTTGCCCTTAATTACTATTAAGGATTGGCTTGTTTACTGTGGTAGACATGATGGATTCCTTCCTTAACTCTTCTAACTCTTCTTTATTCAGCTGTTCTCATTAAAATTTTCTTTCCTGTGTTCTCAAAATAGAGATTCATCTTTCTTCCTTCTCTGTGTGTAGCACTCAGTTAAGCATCTTCTTCAGTGTTGCCTTGGTGGTCATTTTGGTCATTGCATGTCAGAGGGAATTTTTTAAATTTAATTACATGTGTGTCAAGAAGGTGTACACGTGGGTGTGGGTGCCAGGCTTGTGCAGCCAACACCTTTACTAACTGAGCCATCCCCTGGGATGAACCCTTTAAAACTTTAAATATTGCTTTTTTCCTTTACAATTTAGATTTCCCATGGAGATATTTTTATCGGATGAACCCTTTAAAACTTTAAATATTGCTTTTTTCCTTTACAATTTAGATTTCCCATGGAGATATTTTTATCTGGTCATGTTTATTTGGGGATCTAAATGGCTTTTGTATTTGAATGTCTGTTTCTTTGACTTGGGAAATGTTCTGCTGTAATTTCATTGAATTCATTCTCTATCCCTTTACTTTTTATCTCAGCTTCTGAATAAAGTCCTGCACATTCCTGGCTTGGTCTCTTGATCATATCATGGTTCTTCTACATTCTGGCTGTGGTCATTATTTACATTTTAGTTACTGCTGTTGGAATGTAGCTTTTCCTCAGCTGTATCCTACCTTCTGGATCTTCTCTTTGATGGAGACAGTTGTTGGTGTTTTCCGATGAGGTTTTTTGCTTGGTGTTTTGTTTTGTCTTATTTTTGTTTTTGATTCAACTTTAAAATGTCCAACACTTCTATTTGTTTGTTGTTTGTTTTTATAAAATCTCCATTTCCTTGCTATATTTTCTCCTATTCTGCCCATTTTTTCATCTTTTTGCTCCCTCTCTCCTCCTTTCCTCTGTATCCTGTGGTTGATATATTGTGCACCCCAATAAACTTATCTGGGAGTCAGAGAACAGAACAGCCACTATATTAAACATAGTTTTAGGCAGTGGTAGAACTATCTGGCTCAGGTTTGTTTTTATTAATAAGACCTTTTAAGATTTATGCTACAGTTTCCTCCACTTGGCTGACTTTCACCTCTAGAGCACAGACTAGATTCCTCTGCCTGTTTGCATCTCCTTCAATCTCTGATCATTTTAACCAGAAAACACTGAAGACCCAATATTTGACATATTTCAGGGTATTTAAATCAAGTTATAATTTTTAGAGGCATCATCTTACTCTTTTTGTTTCTTGCATTTGTTTTAATATATGCATCTATTGGTTGGGATAGCTCTTCTGGATTCTTGAAATGATCTTCATATTGAGCAGCCTGTTCTTGAAGGCTAGTACCATTTGCAAGTGGAAAGAAACTGCTATAGCAGCAATGTTAAACTATACAGATATAAAAACACACTTAAAATTATTGATAGTTCACCAACATGTCTCTGTTGAAATGATAATGTGAAGGGTGCTGTGCAATATACTACGAAGACAAAATTATTTAAGGTACATGTGGAAACATAAATAAGTGAGATAAAGGGAGGAGACCAGAAAAAGGGAGAAAAAAAGAGAAGCAAGGTTCAATAATAAGAGAGTAGAGAGAAGTGTTATAAGGGAGAAGAGAAAAATACAAGAGATTTAAGGAGGCATCAAAAATATTGCTCAATAATAAAAAAGTTGAAAAATAAAATTAGATAAATGTAAGAAAATAAGTAAAATATAAATATATTATTTTTTAAAGTCAATGAAGTAAAGTCAAAATACTGCCAAATGCAAGGCATTTATAAAATAGAATGGGTTATAAAAAATAATTTATGGAAGAGAAATATTACTGTCTCCAAATGGAAAAAAATCATAAATAGCATTAGATGAATTTATGAAGGGAAATAAAAACTAAAAATGTAATAATAACATTTTTTTAAAGTGTCTACTTAGCCAGGCGGTGGTGGTGCATGCCTTTAATCCCAGCACTTGTGAGGCAGAGGCAGGCGGATCTCTGTGAGTTTGAGGCCAGCCTGGGGTACCAAGTGAGTTCCAGGAAAGGCGCACAGCTACACAGATAAACCCTGTCTCGGGAAAAAAAAAAAAAGTGTCTACTTAAAACTTGCAAATGTAATGAGAAAAAAAGCAGACAAAAGAGAACAATAAAGAACAGGCAACTAACTCAGGTGCATTCTGAGTCAATAAAAATTGGAGGCTGCTGGTTACATGCATGGAGGAGGTGAACTGAGTCTATGGACTCCTGTCTTTTGCCTTTGGCTTATGCTGTTCCTGAGTCTGTGCTGGAGCAAGCAACTCCTGTCTTCAGAATTGTCTTCACAGATGCTCTTTTCCTTTTGTGGGTAACAGAAGCCTCTGCAGGTCATAATTAGCTTTGCATTTTGTAATCAGGGCACATCTTCTCACACTATCAAGACTTCCTAGATTAAAACCCCTGGTGAGACTTTCAGGTGGAGGTGTATCCCAAGTGTGTTGGGAGTGAGGGAATCAAGAAGACCTGCCTTCACACATTCAGGGCCCCAGAGTACTGATCACCATGCTGCAGGAATGCCCCTCTACACATCACGCACACCCCTGGAATGTTGGAGTGTCTGGATTCTACAGCAATGAATCACAGGAGGTTAGCTCCATAATTTGACCCAGACCATGATCTCAGTCTCAGAAATATCAAATTCCAGTGTTAATTTCAGTTGATAAGCTCAATTTGTAGCCAATGCAGGTGTGGCTATCTCCCTTTATATACTTCCCAGCTGATCTCACTTCTTGACACCTTCATCCTTTGGCCCTTCAGTGTCTTGATGACATGAGGAACAGAATTGGGACAACTACTAAGTGCTATGCCAATGTGTGTCTTAGAGTGGAGACAATTGGACCAGTGCAAAGTAGTCTTAAGCTGGTGTGTTTTGCATGGAGTGTTGAAATGCCCACCACTGGATATAAAGGAAACAGCATTCCAGATGTTCCCACAGTTCCAGTGTAGGGGATAAAGAGGGAAAGTCAAAACTGTCTTGAAACAGAAAGTGAATTTATGTTGTCTCCATGATCTCCTTCTTCTCCCTAATTAGTTCTATAACATCTTCCCGGGGATAATGAAACATCTTCCCGGACAACACCAAACAGCAATAGCTACCTGGGAAAAACTGAAATCGTATGTTTCTGATAGAGTTGACAATCACCGCAAAGACTGGAACCCTGATGAGCCGAGAGACTTCATTGATGCTTTCCTCAAGGAAATGACAAAGGTGGGGAAAATGCTGTCTGTGTCTTCTTTCAGAAAGAGAGGTGTAGAATAGCTTCCATTGAGTCAGCAGCAGGCTACCATAAAGGAGGGTTTAGTATAGCAGAGATTTATTCTCTCATAGTTCTAGATCATCTCTGTAATCCTGCTATCCAGGAAAGCTACTTTGGGAGACATTAGAAAATTCATAGCCTGTGTCTCCAATCTCCTAGGGAACATTGATGTTTGTTTTTGTAACTTCCTGCTCCATCTTCAATGCCAAGACTGCAACATCTCTATCCTTTCTGATCCTTTTACATCTCATTTCTCCTGTTCTAACCCTGGAGGCCCCTCTCCTAAGGATAATTCTGGATAACCTTTCCTCCTGAAATTAATTATATCTACAAGATCTATTTTGTGCATTGAATAACATGCTATGGTTGCAAAGATGAAAATATGAACATCTTTGTAAATCATTACTTAACATACCCTTGAGAGTAAAACATAGGAATAGTCATTTATAAATGCATGGTAACATAACCCTGGGTTGTTGAGGTCTTTAGAAATAAAGGGTTTGCTACCATTTATATTGGCTTGAGGTCCTGGTTAAACCCATATTCTTTCTTGTTATTCTCCTCCTTGGTCCTTTTCCCATATCTGAAGGAGATTCACACAAAATAAAAGTAGCAGTTACATTTCAGAACTTTATTTTGCTATGAGTTGGTCCAGGGCTGGTTATTCTTCCCAACTCAGATACCACTGCAAAGACAAACTTTAGATAAGTAAATGGTAGAGTTTAACTTTCATATGAAGGTGGGACACTTACCTTTCCCTGAACTCCATATCAGCACTATTCAATAATAGATCAAGGCAAGAAGACACTGAGGGATCATATTGCTTAACTTTGCATCATTATGACAACAATATGTGGCAGCAACAACTGAATAAAGCAAAAATGTATTCTGGTCAAGTTTTAGGATGTTTCAGTTCATCATGGTGAATAGCAAAGCAGCTCAGCTCATGGGGCAGAAGGGTATGGTGGAGGCTTTCACATCACCGTGCAGCAGGAAGCAGCAAGCAAGGAAGGCACCATGGGTTTGGTGTAACTCTAAGAGTTACTCTCCCTCCCTACAGGCATCAAGTTCCTTCAGCCAGATGCTATATTCCTATTTCTAGGAACTTCCCCAAATACTATCAGTGTAAGGAACCAAGTATTTAATACATGAGCCCATGGGGGAACATCTTTGGTTCAAGCCATGCTGTAAAATGTAAGGCCTTGATCCTAGTAGACCTCTGGCAAATACGAATCACTGAATTTGTCATAGAAGTTTCAGCTCACTGGATTATGGAATCCTCTGCCTGGAGCACAATGGTAGTGTGTGTGTGTGTGTGTGTGTGTGTGTGTGTGTGTGTGTGTGTGTGTGATCTTCTCTCTTATTTAATCTTCTTGACATAATATTGATATAAGCAATATTTATGCCCAGAAGAGGAGACAAACCATATGAAGTATAGGTATGAGAACAACAACATTAAGAGCAGTATTAGCAAACTGATGCTTCTAGAAGAAGTGAGCAAAGGTGATGTTTTGCCATGAAGAACTATTGAGGGAATCAGTGAGATTTTGACTTTGCAAGATGATGCAAATTGGAGAATCAATGATTCATATTAATAATGTTTCCAGTATCAGCAAAGTCACCTGTTAAATATCAAAGATAGTATCGCTCTGAATGACTTAATGCAATTCATTCCTCAGGGCGAGGACCGGTGTTATGAGACAATCACAAATCCTCTGAATAAACAAATTCACACTGTCTTTTCTAGTACCCAGACAAGGCTACTACAAGTTTCAATGAAGAAAGCCTCATCTGCAGCACCCTGGACCTATTCCTTGCTGGAACAGAGACAACATCCACAACTCTGCGCTGGGCTCTGCTCTACATGGCCCTCTTCCCAGAAGTCCAAGGTGAGCACATTGTGACTGCATTTAACTCAGGCAGGATGGGGTAAGAAGACAGCATGGTGGAGTGAGAAGAGGTGGAGCAGCTGTGAGGCACTGTGCACTTGGGAAAAGGCACATCCTGAACTGATCTCTTAGGACTATAATTGTTCCAGGAGCACAGATATTACAGTCTGTACCATCAGCAGTCTTGGAGTTCAGGAGTAAAGAGAGAAGTTTACATTGTGGTATGTTCCAGCAAAGAGTGGATTTATCACACAGCCTTCAACCACACCCTCCTTCATTTATAACAATCCTTCCCAGTTTGAGTACTGTCCTAATTCTTTTTTTCTGGTATTTGACGTCTTGTGATTTGCACCTCTCTGCCTGCTCAGGGATCTGCCTGTCTCTGCCTCACAAGTGCTGGGATGACAAACAAGTGCAGACTTCCACATCTGGCTTTCTTGTCTTTGTTCTGTAATTCCAACTCATGTTCTCATGCTTGTATGGCAATCAATTTACTCTAAGTTATCCACACACAAATGTTATTAATACATATTAGATAGATTGATAGATAGATAGATAGATAGATAGATAGATAGATAGATAGATTATCTGTATTTATATTATGCACATCTGGGCTACTATCTAAGATGACTTTCTTGATGAAGGTTCCATTTTTGAAGACAGCTTAAAGCCTATTGAGTTACAGTTCAGGCTTGCTTTCTGAAAAAGACTCTAGGATATCAGCATATTTTAAAAAGCTTTTTAAATATATTTTTTATTTTGTCTGTGTATGTGTGCACTTGCATGCTGTCTTTCCAAGTGTATGTGTGGAGATTGAATAACAACTTCAGGAAGTTGGTCTTTTTCCATCATGTGGATTCCTGACCTCAATCACATATCATCAGGTTTGGTAATACTAAGCCATCTCACTATCCAGCATATTAATTGATAGAATTTTAATTCATGTTCATTTTGTAGTATTAATAGTAGTCAACAGTTGGAAGCACCCAGGATACTCATTAACCATGAGTAAAGTTAAGTACAGAAATTCAGCCCTTAAGGAAAAACATCTTGATGCATACATGAATATGGAAGACAAATATCTTATATATTTAACTATACAAATGTTCTAGAATAGTTATATTTGTAAATATAGAAGATAGAATATAAGAGGGATAAACAAAGAATTGTGAAGAAGTAGTTTGTTTTGCACAATAAACTGGTCCTGCCACTACTGTTGCTGGAGGGCTTCTCTCCAGGTTCCCCAAGCCCCGCAGTCCCACAATCCACTTATAAAATAATCATTCATATGCTTATATCACTTATAAACTGTATGGCCGTGGCAGGCTTTCTGCTAACTGTTCTTTTATCTTAAATTAACCCATTTTTATAAATCTATACCTTGCCACGTGG